AATAAAATAATAAAGTATTAGTATTTTAAGTTTTTTTAGTAAATATTGATATATTGATATTATCTCTATTTCACCTTTGAATAAATATTGATCTATTTATTGACCACTCAATATTATTTATAAAGGATTTATATAGAATAGTATTATTATCTTTGGGTATACAATAATTGTAAGGATATTCAAAACAATATCATCATACCCGTCACATAATTATTCGAACTAGAATCTCATTTATGATTATCTAAAATTTAATTATGTATGTCATTATAAATATTATTTTTCTTAAGGTCATTCAGTACTAATTCTTTAATGTAATTTTATAAGTTATTAGTATAAGCCACCTTGGCGACTATAAAATCAATATAATAATATTAAATATAATTTAAAAAAATCTTATAAATGATAAAAAAAATTATTATAATTTATATCTCATAAGTCTACTATCTTAAGCCACTTTGGCAACTACGAATTATATAAAACTTAGAGATATTAGTCATAAATAATATTCACTAAATTCTTTCAATCTAATATATGCCAAAATAGTTCAATAATAACAATCATAATAATTATTAAACATTAATTAGTGAATAAAATATATGACAACTATAATCATGATAAATTATAAATCATGTCTTTATGTGAAAAATAAATATTATTTTAGAATTTCAAACATATGCATGTGAATAATTAAACAAATATTAAGAATAATAATTAAAATTTTATTTATCACATATAAAATTTTATCAATATGTTATATAAGTAAATTATAAAAGAAAATCATAATTTATATATTTTTAAAATTTTATATGAAACCTTAAAACAATTAACCCAATTTAAATGAGTAGGGTCAGAATTAGGCTAGCGATTTTAGCCAACCATTTGCTTAATTAGGCTCATCAAATTAAAGTTGATCAAATTCAAAAATTAATCAAAACTTAACTTCCCCGAATTTGATCAAAACTTGATTGATCGAATCTAAATCCAGTAAGCAGAATATAGTTATGATCAAAATATTTGATTAAGATAAATCAAATTAGCTAATTTTATAATTATGGACATAAGTCAATTTTTTTTAATTTATGAAGGGCAAAACTAGAAAATAAAATTTAAGGATACATATGGAAATTTTTAATTTTTGAGGAGTAAGATATCTTTTAAAAAAAAACTTAATTATCACATCCTTTTTCATAATCACTATGGTGCATAGTTGTTGCTTGTCCGTGGCCTGCAATCGTCGTTTGCACATTGACTAATGACCTCTTCGATCATTATGCGGTGTTCTGTCGTCGTGCCCACGCATAATTGTGCATATGCATCACTTGGTGGTCGTGGTGAGGGTCGCTAGGAGCGTGACTGTACCCATACTTCCGCTCATGTAGTTATTGGCCTTTAACGCCCATTCGACACTACTCGTGGCCTGCAAATGCCGCAACTACATGCTGTAATCGTGGCACTACTACAGTTGTTGCAGGTAGTGACTCTATTGTAGTCGATGCACATAGTAATGCTACTATAGTCACTATAGTCATCACAGGTAGTAGCGGTGCTATTACACATAGGCTACGTTATTGTTGTAGTTGCCTGTGACCAAGGCAGGTCATCCGTCGTAAGGCCACTATATATAGACAGTCTTGCATGTGGTCACCATCTTTATCGTAATCTATAATGCTTTCGGTGCATATGCAAACCCGTGATTAGGCTAGCGACCATTAGAGGTCATTGCCCTTAACAATATTATCATTAATAACAAACTGTCAACAATAGTCCATCAATAAAACACAATGAACCTCACATCATCCGCAAGCAGATGACAAAATGAGATAAAAAGTAGATCGACAATGTAGACGGATAGTTTAAATATTGTAAATCAAAATCAAATAATACATTTTCGCAAGCTAAGAGTGCTAATAATTAGATCTAAATACAAAATAGATCTAAAATACTTTTATGATATAAGGTATTTGATTTCAAAACTTAACTCTAATACCAATAAGCATTAAAATTATGATTATGTTACCGTTACGTAGAAAACTTTAATGCTAGAAACTAAAATCAAATAATGGTAGATCAAGTTTTCAATATGTACTTTCTCAATCATACTTAAAAAAAACCTTTATTTGATCTATAAGCATATTATTATCGGATTTAAAAGCTACAATGATGTTGATCTACAAGTACTCTCTACCTATCCTTCATAGGACTGATATGAACGATGAATTAGGAACTAAGAGAAGATGAGAGAAGATCTGTAATATCTTAATAACTAATTCTTTCATCCTTAAATATTTTATCCTTTTATAGACAAAAGCAAAAATCTAGGATAAATAATTGTAAGAGTTTCTTCCCATCTCTTAAAGAATTCTATTATAATTGAACTTTCTTTTTATTAATCGATAATATTCTAACTATATCTATAATATATCTTACCTAATTAAATAATATAATATGATAAATTTTTATTATTCTATTTTTAATTCATGATCTTATCTTTATCAAAAAGAGCTTTTCTTGAGTATTATCTCACTTGCAAGATATTTAGTTGAATCCGCTCGTTCATTATACACTAGCCTTGTAAGAGAAGTATATTCAAACTGGATTGGTTCCAAAGTCATATTAGCACATTAAAATAATAAAAATATATATTAGAAAGATATTTAAGTATTATTTATGATTTTGTTTTGCTATATAAATTATAATTATTAAAGGATTATCATGAATTTTTCTAATGAATACTAATGGGAGGAATACATGTGGTGGATAGAACCGGAAATGCCTTTGCTTTTAACCATCTATTGATAATCATGATCAGTAGTTGTAATATGAATTTTTAGATGATCTTAAAAGGATTATAT